GTCCTGTTGGACTCTTGAGAGAGCCACCTTCATTGTCCAGTACAAATCATTTGGAAGTTTCTGCTTCAGAGTTGAGAATACACAGCCATTCAATATATTGATAGTTAAGTCCAGTAAATTCTTTCGTCTGTCAGGGAATCGAGGGAGGAGGAGAGAAACAGAGCTGAGGCAGAAGAGCAACTTTGACTGATTTTGAACCATAGACCACCTTTAGAGATTGTACAAATTAGGCTTGTTATCTCTAAATCTAGAAGGACAAAGGTGTGACCTAATGAAAGTTTTTCAACATATTAAGAGGAACTGTCAGGGTGGACAAACTATTTCCACTGGGGATTCCAGAACTAGGGGGTATAGTCTGAGAGTTAAGGCTAAACTGTTCAGGAGAGATGTTGGGCTGCACCTCCTGAGTGAGAGAGGTTTCTGAACTCTTCCACAAACAGCAGTGGATGCTGCATCAGTTGTTAGTTTGAAGTCTGAAATGGATTTGTTTCTGTTAAGCCAAGCTTTTGGGCCTGAGGTGGTTGTATGAAGTTAGGTGGCAGATCAGCCATGATCTCTCTGAATGGCACGGAACAAGCTTGGGGAGGGGTTTGGGTGGGGCTGGCAGGGTAGCAAATGGCCTACCCGTATTCCTGTGTCCCTTTTTTTAATTGTGCTTTTTTTTTTAAAATATATTAAAGTCATTGAGTTTTCTTAATGGTGTTCCCTGAACAAATAAAACAATAGAATGTGTATTCTTGGGATGTTGGTGCAGAGCACCTGAACGTGCTTGGCTCAGATTTGAAGTTCTGTACAAATACCTTCTCTTGCGGTTTAGTTTTGCATGGTGGGTTTGAAGGCATAACTTTTGTTTTGAAATCAATTTTGTTTTTGTTGAAGTGAGGTTTTTCCCTTCTTCTTTTTTTTTTCAGGCACGTCGCTATGAGGGTCTAAAGGCCTGTGAGCTGCCAACCTGTGAGAGCCTAAAGGACACCATTGCACGGGCCCTGCCGTTCTGGAATGATGTGGTTGTGCCGCAGGTCAAGGCGGGCAAGAGGGTGCTGATTGCGGCCCACGGCAACAGCCTGCGTGGCATCGTCAAGCACTTGGAGGGTAAGCAGCTTTGAGACTGGAGTCCCCTTTTTCCTTTCCAGAACAAACATCGTTACAAGATGGGCAGTCTATTTTGACTAGGTTGGTGTCACTGAAATTGTAGTCCAGCATTCATTGCCCATCCCTTATTGAGATTGAGTCGACCTCATTGCTGCGGGTCTGGAGTCCTGCGTAGACTGCGCCAGGTAAGGATGGCAGGCCCCTTCCCGAAAGGAAGTGATCGGATTTTATTTTTTCTGATAACCACTGATGGATCCATGGCCGTTGTTAGAACGTCAGATTCCAGATTTTAAATTGAATTCGAATCCCACCATCTGCTATGGCGGGGTTCGAACTCCAGTCTCCAGAACGTTAGCTGGGTCTTGGGATTAACAGTCCAGCGATTGTCCCACTAGGCCATCACCTCCCCTTAAGGGAATAACCCTTTTTGTTATGAGCTGGGTTCCGAGCTTCAATTTGGGTTGGGGTGGAAAAACACTGGTGGTGAGTCTTTTTCTTTTAAAAGAGAAAAGGCAGCCCAGGTCACAGGTCCTCCCTCCCCAGAGGCAAACTACCACTTTTCTGTCTACCTAGAAGGTTGGGCGTTATTGGAGATGCTGGTGACAGTTGGCATTTCAAAGCCTGGTGTGAATCTTCAACCCTTGCTGGCCACTCGAGTCTACAACCAGTGGGTAATGAGTGTTCCAGGGTTATCTAAAGGCTTTCGCCCTTTAAAAGCCACTTTCAGGGCAGGGTGGAATCTTGCTGTATGCAGCAGCAGGGATATTAGGTGACTGGCTGCATGGAGGTGTTGGTTACAACTTGACATTCAAGTTACTGGAGGCTGTGTTTCCACCCTGGGATCGGGAGAGGACTGAATACAAACTGAAAGAACTGCGGATGCCATAAATCCGGAACGTGAAACAGAAATTGCTGGAAAAGCTCAGCAGGTCTGGCGGCATCTGAAGGAAAAAAGTCGGTTAGCGTTTCGGGTCCGGTGACACAGCAATGACCTATTTTCGTGAGTGAGTCTCTCTCGCGTTGCAGAGAGGTTACTTCTCCCCACCCCAGTCACACTTTAAGCCTGAGGCTCACACTTACTGTAACTGACGGCAGTGCAACTGTTAGCGACCCCACCCCCCATCGAGATGCCAGTGCTACTAATAACCACGGCAAACCCAGCCAGAGTGTGTGACCCAAGTGAGCAGAGACATCCTCAGTAAATGTCTGAGGTATTCTAAAGAGTCTCTATCTCTGCGTGACCTGGGCACTGTTAGTGTAGGCACTAACCCACTCTCTCAAGGAGCCAAGTTCCTTTGGCTGATTTCTAGTCACTAAGGATATGGTTTTAATGACTTTGATATTTCATGGCACTTAACCAAGGATGACTTTTTTGTGCCTTGCTGCTTGCAACCCACACAGCTCCTAATTATTTCTTTTCTTTCAAAAGGAGTCTCCTCTCTGTCTCCCCCCTCCCCCGCTGTGTGCGTGTGTGTCGTCTAAGTTGAGTCTTGCAGAAGAAAATCGCAGGCAGCATGGTGGCTCAGGGGTTAGCGCTGCTCCCCAACACTGCCAGGGACCTGGGTTCAATTCCAGCCTCCCCAACTGTCTGTGTGGAGTTGGCATGTTTTTTCCAGTCTGTGTGGGTTTCTGCTGGGTGCTCCATTTCTTTCTCTCTCTCTCTCTCTCTCTCACTCTGTCTCTAGATGGATTGGTCATGGGGAAATGCAGGGTTACAGTGATAGGGTTATGGGGGTGAGTCTGGGTGGAATGTGCTTCAGAGGGTCGGTGTGGACTTGATGCGCTAAATGGCCTGTTCCCAGACTGTAGGGTTGTCTGTCTCACAGCTGCTTTAGCCATATGTAGACAACTGCCCAGTGAGTGTAGCTGACAGCAAATTGCACATCTGGTTTCTGTGGCAAGTGACAGCTAGTCCTTAACAGGAGGAATGTCCACCTGTGTTTCATAGCTTCTTTTTTTTTCCCCATTCAGGTATGTCTGACGCAGCTATCATGGATCTCAACCTGCCGACTGGGATCCCCATTGTCTATGAGCTGGATGCTAACCTGAAGCCTACCGGCCCCATGAAGTTCCTGGGGGATGAGGCGACTGTAAAAGCTGCAATGGAGGCCGTGGCTTCACAAGGCAAGGTTAAGAAGTGAAGCCCAAGGGGCCAGCAGCTGCCCAGGTTTCAGACAGTGCGTGCCAAGTCCACCAACATATTTTGTAAACTAGTGTTGCTGTTTATTTATCTCATTAAATTAAACTGCACTATGTTTTGTCTCTGTTTATCACCAGCCACTAAACTGTTGCTTAAATTTGATGCTTAACGAAACTCTATACCTGAATTGCTACAGTTCTGAAGTGTTCAAGACCTACACACCTCTGCTTAACATTAACACACAGGGTCAAATTCTGCTTAGATGTGCTGTGGAAAAAACTTGAGCATTGTCATAGTCTGATCTTTTCTGCCTCTTTCTGCCTGCAAAGAACTTTTTTTTTTCCTCTTCCCAACTGGCTGATTCTCGCTATTCCTCCTCTACTTGGGTGCCTGGTTTTACTGTAAAAGTACCTCACCACACCCTCCTCTCCTACCCCACTGTCTCTTCCCTGTGTGGCCCTTCAATTTCTCTTACTGGCTGTGCACCTGAATTTCTATCCTGGGGAGGGGGAGAAACAGAAGTTTGTTTCTTACTAAATTTTGCCCCTGGCCCCTTGCCTCCAGATGTTGTGAAAGAGGGGCAGGAGGAGCAAGAGTGGTGTGGGTACAAACAAACCCCTAACAGTACTGTAGCCATGTTACACGTTTTATCTACCACTATTCAAAAGAAGTGGGGTTTTTTTTCACCTCACCCCACAGTGACTAGCACGTAGGGAAATCCTGAACAAAAACAAAAGCTGCTGGAAAAACTCAGCAGGTCTGGCAACATTAGTGAAGGAAAAAAACAGTTAATGTTTTGGATCCGGTCACCTTTCCTCAGGAAATCCTAAAGCTTTGCCATGTGGTATATGTATTCCAATAATCCTGACCTCTGTTGTATTTAACCAATTTAAATCGATGAATAAAACCCAAACAGTAACTTTTTTAAAAAAAAAAACTGAACGATGGGACGCAGAGAACGATTGAATACCCTAATTCCAAGATGCGGTATTAGGCCAGTGCCAGTCTTTCGGAGAGCTCTACAGTGTTGGCGTTGTTGACCTTTATTTGTACCCCTCCCCTCAAAGGTGTTGAGTCGGCTTTTAAAGCCGACATCTCTCATTCTGAAGAGGTCACACCACCCCTCCCAGGTCCCCTCCTGCCGCTCTTAAAGCCGGAGGCTCACATTACTGTTACGGAGGGACAGTGCAACTGTTAGCGACCTCTTCCCTCTGATCGAGATTCCAGTGCTATTTATAACCACGGCAAACCCAGCCAGAGTGCGTGACCCAAGTGAGCAGAGACACCCTCACTAAATGTCAGAGATATTCTAAGGAGCCTCTATCTCTGTAACTCTCTCTGCGTGACCTGGGCACTGTTCGTGTAGGCATTAACCCACTCTCTCAAGAAGCCAAGTTCCTTTGGCAGATTTCAGCATAAGTGGGCCGCTTTTTACACACCAAGTGCACGGTTTTAATTTGCGGGAAATTCAGTACAAAACTTGGATATTTCATGGCATTCAACCAAGGATGTTTTTTCCAGTCTGTGTAGGTTTCTGCTGGGTGCTCCATTTCTCTCTCTCTCTCTCTCACTCTGTCTCTAGGTGGATTGGTCATGGGGAAATGCAGGGTTACAGTGATAGGGTTATGGGGGTGAGTCTGGGTGGAATGTGCTTCAGAGGGCTTGCAATCCACACAGCTACCCAGTTTCCCAAATTCACACGACAGAGCTGTGAGCACCATTGCCTCTGGCCTGCTGCTTCATCCCAGAAGGGGGAGCCAAGTGGAAAAATCCCACGAACCTGCCCAGAGCTCGCTCATGTCCCCTCTACACTTCACCTTTTGTGCAATTTCTGTGCTGGGAATTTCATTAAAACCAGAGACTGGAAGTTTGTGTCACCTCGAACCAGGTTCACGCAGTGGGAGCGCATCCCCGAAGTTCCCCATTGGTCCCACTGCTACAACGGTACAGTCAATCAGAACTGACACACAAACCAAGCAGCACCTTTTGTTCTCCCGCTCCTGATGACTGCAAGACCAGAAATCTTCAATTCTTTTTCAAGGGGGAGTTTCAAGTTGAGCAACAAGCAGGAGGACACTCGAAAAGTTTCTGAAGAAGTCTCCCGACCCGAAAAGTCAGCTTTCCTGCTTGGCCTGCTGTGTTCATCCAGCTCTACACCTTGATATCTCGGATTCTCCAGCATCTGCAGTTCCTACTGTCTGTGAAACATTACCTATGCATTGCTCAGACGGTGGTGGGGAGATCCTGAACTGTGTGCTCCCATCCTGCTCTCAATCTCCTGTGCGGGACTGCCACCTCCTGGCAGAAAGGCCGCACTGCTGCCAGACCAGGCTGAAGTGGCAGTGGGACATATTGAAGAGCAGAAAAAAAGGGCAGTTGTGGGGAATTCCTCTCTTTGCCCCTCCCGCTCAAAGTGCGGTTTTCACGCGAACACAAAAACTGCTCGAATGAAAGGAAACAGACACAATGAGGCATCGAGAGACGGAGAGAAAGAGGAGAGAGAGAGAGGGAGAGAGAGGGGAGAGGAGAGAGAGGGAGAGACAGAAGGAGACAGAAACAGAGGGAAAAAGAGAACGAGATACACAAAGAGGGACAGCGAATAAAGGAAAGAGGAAAAGGGAGAAATAGGAGAAAGAGGGACTGAGAAAAAAAGAGGAAGGCAAGAGAGAGGGAGAAATAGAGAAAGAAGAGAAAACACAATTTCTTGAGATGGAGATATCACTTCAAGTCTTGTAGCTGTAACCAAGGGCAACACTGTGCTTACTGAGGGAGAAATAATTACAAAATACTAAGATTTTATTTTTAAAATACTTCAGCACTGAACCTCCTGCAAAAGAAAACAAACCAATTTGCTTTTAGACAACATGCGCATAGTCACAACTACTGTAACAAAACCAGTGTAAATAACAAAGCTCAAAACTTTATATCAGCCAGGGGGAGGGAAGAGGGAGAGATGGTGCGTGCATGTGTGTGAGTACAAAATAAAAATGCAAAAATTAACATTGCAATGAAGTGCTACACTCTCCCTGCTCCCACCCCTCAAAGTCACTCGAAAACAATTCCAGAAGGACTGAATCTGGAATCTAGGCTGGACTTCTGAATTACAAATGCAGTGTCTGTTAGTGCGTAATAGGTGGGTGTTTTTTTAATTGTTCAAGCTTTGCAGACAAATGTGACTCTTTGCACCCTATACTAGCAAAACAAAAAGCGCCCACACCCCTCCGTCTGCCCAGCACACCCCCCCACCCCCACTGACAGCCTTTCCCGAGACGGAGATACTGTTCTTCTGTGGAAAGCAGCCCAAAAACTCAGAGGGTCTGCCCCTACTTGGACTTGTTGCAGAGGCTCAGCTGGTATCACCTGAACCCTCTCTTCACCCCCAACCCTGCCCCCTGCCTCCTGCGCCCCCCCACACCCCATCCCCCATCCCCAGGCATTCTCCTGGGCATCCAGCACCCCTCACGCATCTCTGCAGTCAGCAAACGGGAGAGTCCTACGCGTAGTCCATCTGCTGGGAGCTGCAGCTTTTCTCCTGCCTCTCGGCGTTCTGCAATTGCTTGGGGTCGGGGCTTTCGGGCATCCGGGCACTGATGTAATCCTTCACCTTGATTTCCATGTTCCTCGCCTGGACCGCGGCTGCATGCAGCTTCTCCAGGAAGTCAGGCATGCCTACATGCAAAACAACAACAAAAAAAGGATTACTTGTGTCAGGATGGCACTGCCGTTTGTAGGAGCTTGTCAAGTACTAACTGGGTGCAATATTTTCGACACTCTAATGCATGCATTCGTAACTGTGAGACATCCCGCGGTCATCAAGTCAGTTTGGCACAGGAAGAGGCCAATCGCCCTATCTGACTCCATGCTAGCTCTCTGTGCAGCAACCCGGTATAGCCCACTCCTCCCCGCGGTCCTCAGAGTTTATTTTCCCTCAAGAACCCGGTCCTATTCCCCTTCGAAACCTTTCCACTCGGGGCAGGGACAAAAATAGGTCTCCCCCACAGCCCCTCACCTTTGGCCCCAAACCTCAAATCTGCGTCCGCCTCGTCCCTGCAGTGGTCATAATCCAGTGTGCCCCCTACCGATTCGCGCCCCCCTCCCCCACCCAGCTCAGAGGCAAACAGTCTCCAAGAAGGCACAAAACCTACGTCCCCTGCCTCTTGAAGACCCAGAGATAGACTGTGCCACCTCTAGCTGCCTTCTCCAAAAGGCACAGACAGACATTCAGAAGGGCCTCTGTTGCCGGATTAAGGCCCCGGCCCATAATTGTGCGATTGAGCTGACATCAGTGCTGCAGAGCTGAAGACTTATTGTTTCAGCATCAAACACACCCCGGTCACGTAAAGCACTGGGCTAGAGTGGGGAAACCTCCTCTCTGAAGAAAATGAGAGGCCGGAGTAGGCCGTTCAGCCCATCGAGGCAGCTTTGCCATTCGGTACTACCTTGTGTTTCAAGTGCACTTTCCTACTCCGTTCCCTGGGAGAACAACATTCTGTCCCTCCCAGTTCTAAACAGATTCAGCGACAGAGCATTTACAACCCTCTGGGTGACCAGAACTGGACACAGTGCTCCAGAAGAGTCAGTTGAGTTTGAGTTTGCGTCAGTTCGAGTACTTCAGATGGGTCAGTTTTTGTCCAATGTGTGCAGGAGGGTTTCCTGACACAGTATGTAGATAGGCCAACAAGAGGCGAGGCCACATTGGATTTGGTACTGGGTAATGAACCAGGCCAGGTGTTAGATTTGGACGTAGGTGAGCACTTTGGTGATGGTGACCCCAATTCGGTTATGTTTACTTTAGCGATGGAAAGGGATCGGTATATACCGCAGGGCAAGAGTTATAGCTGGGGGAAAGGCAATTATGAGGCGATTAGGCAAGATTTAGGATGCATAGGATGGAGAAGGAAACTGCAGGGGCTGGGCACAATTGAAATGTGGAGCTTGTTCAAGGAACAGCTACTGCGTATCCTTGATAAGTATGTACCTGTCAGGCAGGGAGGAAGTGGTCGAGCGAGGGAACCGTGGTTTACTAAAGAAGTTGAATTTCTTGTCAAGAGGAAGAAGGAGGCTTATGTAGAGATGAGGCGTGAAGGCTCAGTTAGGGCGCTTGAGAGTTACAAGTTAGCCAGGAAGGACCTAAAGAGAGAGCTAAGAAGAGCCAGGAGGGGACATGAGAAGTCTTTAGCAGGTAGGATCAAGGAAAACCCTAAAGCTTTCTATAGGTATGTCAGGAATAAAAGAATGACTAGAGTAAGATTAGGGCCGGTCAAGGACAGTAGTGGGAAGTTGTGCGTGGAGTCCGAAGAGATAGGAGAGGCGCTAAATGAATATTTTTCGTCAGTATTCACACAGGAAAAAGACAATGTAGTCGAGGAGAATACTGAGATACAGTCTATTAGACTAGACGGGATTGAGGTTCAAAAGGAGGAGGTGTTAGCAATTCTGGAAAGTGTGAAAATAGATAAGTCCCCTGGGCCGGATGGGATTTATCCTAGGATTCTCTGGGAAGCTAGGGAGGAGATTGCAGAACCTTTGGCTTTGATCTTTATGTTGTCATTGTCTACAGGAATAGTGCCAGAAGACTGGAGGATAGCAAATGTTGTCCCCTTGTTCAAGAAGGGGAGTAGAGACAACCCTGGTAATTATAGACCAGTGAGCCTTACTTCGGTTGTGGGTAAAGTGTTGGAAAAGATTATAAGAGATAGGATTTATAATCATCTAGAAAGGAATAATTTGATTGGGGATAGTCAACATGGTTTTGTGAAGGGTAGGTCGTGCCTCACAAACCTTATTGAGTTCTTCGAGAAGGTGACCAAACAGGTGGATGAGGGTAAAGCGGTTGATGTGGTGTATATGGATTTCAGTAAAGCGTTTGATAAGGTTCCCCACGGTAGGCTATTGCAGAAAATACGGAGGCGTGGGATTGAGGGTGATTTAGCGGTTTGGATCAGAAATGGGCTAACTGTAAGAAGACAGAGGGTGGTGGTTAATGGGAAATGTTCATCCTGGAGTTCAGTTACTAGTGGTGTACCACAAGGATCTGTTTTGGGGCCACTGCTGTTTGTCATTTTTATAAACGACCTGGATGAGGGCGTAGAAGGATGGGTTAGTAAATTTGCGGATGACACTAAAGTCGGTGGAGTTGTGGATAGTGCAGAAGGATGTTGCAGGTTACAGAGGGACATAGATAAGCTGCAGAGCTGGGCTGAGAGGTGGCAAATGGAGTTTAATGCGGAAAAGTGTGAGGTGATTCACTTTGGAAGGAGTAACAGGAATATAGAGTACTGGGCTAATGGTAAGATTCTTGGTAGTGTGGATGAGCAGAGAGATCTCCATGTGCATAGATCACTGAAAGTTGCCACCCAGGTTGATAGCGTTGTTAAGAAGGCGTACGGTGTGTTAGGTTTTATTGGTAGAGGGATTGAGTTTCGGAGCCATGAGGTCATGTTGCAGCTGTACAAAACTCTGGTGCAGCCGCACTTGGAGTATTGCGTACAGTTCTGGTCGCCGCATTATAGGAAGGATATTGAAGCATTGGAAAGGGTGCAGAGGAGATTTACCAGGATGTTGCCTGGTATGGAGGGAAGGTCTTATGAGGAAAGGCTGAGGGACTTGAGGTTGTTTTCGTTAGAGAGAAGAAGGTTAAGAGGTGACTTAATAGAGACATACAAGATGATCAGAGGATTAGATAGGGTGGACAGTGAGAGCCTTTTTCCTCGGATGGTGATGGCTAGCACGAGGGGACATAGCTTTAAATTGAGGGGTGATAGATATAGGACAGATGTCAGAGGTAGGTTCTTTACTCAGAGAGTAGTAAGGGTGTGGAATGCCCTGCCTGCAACAGTAGTAGACTCGCCAACTTTAAGGGCATTTAAATGGTCACTGGATAAACATATGGATGATAATGGAATAGTGTAGGTTAGATGGGCTTCAGATTGGTTTCACAGGTCGGTGCAACATCGAGGGCCGAAGGGCCTGTACTGCGCTGTAATGTTCTATGTTCTCGAAGAGGCCTCACTAACGTCCTGTACAACCTCAACATGATGTCCCAAATCCTATGCTCAAAGGTCTGAGCAATGAAGGCTAAACGCCTTCTTAACCACCCGGTCTTCGTGCGACGCAAATTTCAAAGATTTATATACCTGAACCCCCTCGCTCTCTCTTTTCTGCCCAAGGCCCTACTTTTAATTGTATAAGTCCTGCAATACCTCGGATTTATCCAAACTAAAAAATGATTCTTCTACTGCAACTCCCCTCTACCCAACTTTGTAAAGTAGGTAACATCACATTTACCTAACTGGCATATTGTACGTGGGCGTCGACTCTGGCTCATGCCCCAGGACACCCAAACCCCCGCTGAACAGCAACACTTTATTAAAAATCTCCCGGTTGAATTTCTGGCTGTGGTTCACTCCACTTTCAAGCCAATCCCAAGCTCCAAGCACCGCCGCCACCCCCCCAGGATCATTTCCCGGTTTGCGCGCTAGTCCATACTGGCACATGGCTAATGTACAACAAAGGACTGCACAGGCTGGAGATCAGAAATGCACCAAAAAAAAGGACAGAAATTGCTGGAGAAACTCAGCAGGTCTGGCAGCGAATGTGAAAGAGAGAGAGAAAAAGCAGAGATCCTGACTGTGGCAGAACAGACAGGATTCATATCCCGGTTTTCTGCGCAATACCTCCTCTCTGTTGGTACAGTGCCCATTGACCGCATTGGTTATTTTTGCTGGGGGGGGGGGGGTTGGGGGGGGAAGCTGGGATCCTGCTCAGCCCCCCTGCCCCCACCCCCTCAGAGGCAGCTCTCCACATGCAGTTGCGGGGGGGGGGGGGGAGGGGGTGGGGTGTGAATACTACTCACGCACGACCAATCAGTCAGCTTACCGCTGGACATCATCCAACTGATGCAGTAGCGAGGGAAAACGGTCTGGGGGTCATCGCTGTACGTGAGCAGGTAGTCAAAGCCATTCTGAAAGTCAAAGATCAATCAAAAGAGAGTGAACGCTGCCTCAGTCAAGTTACAAGCGGCCGAAACTCCCGACTGTAAATGCAGCTGTAACAAAATTACCGCACAGACAGAGACCCTTCAGCCCATCCCGTCAGTGCCGGCTCATTAAACCAGCCATATCCAACAGCTTGCCTTCAGCCTCGCGGCTCCCAGTGCTTCAGGGACGGACCCACTCTCCTTTCAAAAGGGATCTTACCAGTTTTTAAATCGATGCACCATAGAAAGCATCCTATCTGGATGCATCACAGCGTGGCTACTGCTCTGCCCAAGACTGTGAGAAATTACAGAGTCATGAACAAAGCCCAGTCCATCACGCAAACCATCCACTGACTCCATCAACACTTCCTGCTGCCTCAGGAAAGCAGCCAACATCATCAAAGCCCCCTTCCACCCCCCTTATACTCTCTTCCAGCCTCTTCTGTCAGGCAGAAGATGCAAAACTTTGAAAACACGTACCAATAGATTTAAGAACAGCTGCTTCCCCACTGTTATCAGAGTTTTGAATGGACCTCATATGTGAGATCTGATCTTTCTCTGTAACCTTCTCTGTAGCTGTAACATCTGTTCTATCACCCTGATGTAATTATGTAAGGGATGGTTTGCCTGGATAGCACGCAAAACAATACTTTTCACTCTATCTCAGTACATGACAATAATAAATCAAATCAAAAGGAGTTAAGAGTTCCTGCCTGAACACGAAACTGGGCAGCGAACTCCAGATACCCCCAGCCTCTGGGTCAAAGCCTCTCCTCGTGTCTTCTCGAATTCTTCTCCCAATCTCTCTAAATGTGTCAATGACCACTCCACTGGGGATAGAGACCTCCTCTGTCCACTCCATCCCTTGTGGTACTGCACCCCTCGATTAAGTCACCTCTGATCTCAGGAAAGCAGCGCGACCTCTCCCACCTTTCCTCAAAGCAGTTCTCAAACTCTGGCAACATTCCTGTCAATCTCCTCTGTCCTCTCCCTCCTGCAACAATTCTGTCCTTCCTATAACATGGGGACCAGGACTGGGGAAAAACCCCTGATCCATTAACTGTTCAGCCTCTACCTTCATTAAAAGCCTCTTACGTGGGAGTTTATCGAACGTTTTCTGCAAGTCCATGTAAACAACATCCACGGACAGGCCATTTCCCTGTCCACCCCAGCTTAGCCACCTCTTCAAACATTTTACTGAGCTCTGTCAGACATGACCTACCCACCATAAAACCATGCTGGCTCTCCTGATTAACTGAACATTTTCAAGGCGTTCTGTTTGATTTTAAACTCCCAACAATCTCCCCAATCACAGACGTTAGGCTAACTGGTCCGTAAATTCCCAGGCTTTCCCCTTCCACGCTTCTTAAAAAGCAGAGCGACACTCTCCAAACCAGAAGAATGACTCCTGTTTCTAGGGAATTCCGAAAAATTATAGTTAGGGTGTCTACGATATGAGCCCATTCACCCTTTAACAATTTCGAGTGGAAACCATCAGGCCCTTGGGGAACTGTCACTCTCCAATTCCACTAATTCTCCCATTCATTATGTTTTACTTCCATTAATTTTATTCCGCCACGATCCTCTAATAATTTCTTTGAACTTCCAGCAAGCTTTCGTCCTTTCCTACTCGACACACTGAGGCAAAGCAGTTGTTCCAACACGTCTGCCATTTCCACCGTGGTCAGTGACAATATTCTCACTTCCAGACTTTAGCAGGACAACACAGCTGTTTCTTATTGATTCTCATGTCCCTGGCAAGTTTCCTTTCATAATAGCTTTTAGCAGCTCTTATAAGCTGCTTTATGTTCCTTTGTATCTTTACAATTCAGCAGGATCTGTGCTTTTTTTAAGCATTTCTATAAGCCCTTTCTTTCAGTTTTATGCTGTCCCTGGCTGTTTTGCTTTTTGTGTGAAGTGCAGGGTATAAACTGGCTTGTATCGTGTAAAATATTCCTTTCAATGATCTCCACTGCCCTTCAGTTGTTTTACCTATTAGCAGATTTACTGTGGACTGTCTCTGTATCATCTCATTAAAGGCAGCCTTTCCTAAATCTAAAACTCTCAGAGCTGGGTCATGCTTTCCACTTTCAAACGCTACATTGAATTCGATAGTGTTGCGATTGCTGTCTGATCGATGTTCACGCACAATTAGGTTACTAATTAAATCCAGCCCGCTACTCCTTATTAAATCCGATATCGCTTGCCCCCTTGTTGCTGCGGGAAACGAGAGTGTGGAAATTCACTCCCTTTCTGATGGGTGCTTATCTGCCTTTCCCAACCTACATTCAAGTTAAAATCCCCCGTTAACACTACTCCAGCTTTGCTACACACTTGCCTCTGCAATATCTGCGTTTATATCAACTCGCACTTCGGAGCTGCTACCACAGAGTCTGTATGCAACAGCTATTAGCTTCAGATCCTTTACTGTTCCTCAGTCCCATCCATAAGGTCGCCACTGAATGCTTTCCCCTCATTATATCCTCCCTCACCACTGAAGCAATCTTGTTTCTAACCAATAAGGCTTCTCCATCTCCTCTTCTATTTTCCCTGTCCATCCTGTAAACCTTATAACCTGGTATATAGAGTTCCCAATCCCATCCATCTGGCAGCCAAGTCTCAGTAAATGGCTACTGTATCCACCTCCAATTTGAATTTGAGTCTACAGCTCATTTACTTTATTGCTTACATTCACGCTTTCTCATTCGGGGCATACACTATACACCATCCCTCAGCATTGACGCGCCATTCAACTGTTTAATTCTCTCTCTCTTCTGGTTTAATCAATACACTCGGTCTCTGTGCTGCATGACTCTTCGGCCCAACTTGTCCCTGCTGACCAAGTTTCCCAAACTAAGCTAGTCCCACCTGCCTGTGATAACACAGTGTGGAGCTGCAGGAACACAGCAGGCCAGGCAGCATTGGAGGAGTAGGAGTAGAAGAAGGGTCCCGACCCGAAACGTCAGCTTTCCTGTTCCGCTGTGTTCCTCCAACTCCACACTTGTGTTATCTCTGACTCCAGCACCTGCAATTCTTGCTATCTCCAAGTGAGTTATAACCTCACTTGCCTGTGCTTGGCCCAGATCCCTCTAAATCTTTCCTGTCCATGTACCTGCCTCAAATGACTTCTAAATATTGTCACTGTTCCAGCATCTACCGTGTCTTCCAGCAGTTTATTTGTATAGTATTGCCTTACCTAGAGCAGGATCCCTGATTAGTTCTTTCCTCTCTTAATTGATTCTGAAAACCATTTTGACCTCGGCCAAGCCCCCACCCCTATTTACTCGTTGAAAGCCCTGGTAACCTCTCTAGTCCTTCCGCTAGGACATCAGGTCTGGTGGCACCAATCCCAATGGTACAGTTCCCTCCTGTCCCAATGCTGATGCCAGTGCCCCAAGAAATGGAACTCCTCTTTCCTGCACCATGCACTTTCGTCTCTAATTTTCTTCTCGCTGTGCCTATTTGCGTGCGGCTCGGGCAATAATCTGGAGATTATAATTCTCCAGGTTCTGTTCATTAATTCCCAGAAAGGATCTCTTGCTTACCCTTGTCTATGTTATTGGTCCTAACAGGGACCATAATAACTGGATTCTCCTTCTCATCTCACCTCAGCCTTAAATGACACATAGCCTACATCCTTATGAACGCGACTCCTCCCGGTTCTGAGCTCCCTCCCACCCCAGTCATCGGGAACATCTTTCCTGTCTAGTCCCTGTTGGAATTTACTACGTTTCTATGAGACCCTGCCCCATTCTAAACTCTAAGGAATATAGTCCTAACTGATCCAGTCTCTCTTCACATGTCAGTCCCAGGAATCAGAATGGGAAACCTTCGCTGCACTCCCTCCATCGCCAGAACATCCTTCCTCAGATAAGGAGACGCAAGCCGCCTACACAATATTTCAGGGGTGTGGTCTCGCCCTGTCTAAATACAGCCAGACATCCCTGCTCCTGTAGTCAAATTCACTCTCTGCACAAACGCCAACATTGCACAATACTAAAACAGGCAAACTCTCGGCCAGCTACCACTTGTCTGCGCAGCCTTACCTCGTCGAACGACCGGTGCGGCTTGATCACCATCTGCGACTGGTAAGCGGTTACCCGCACATAGTTGGGGCTCTCTGGGACATCCGGGTGTTCGACAGCCCTGGGCACAGGGAATGACACATGAGGACAAACGCAGTGCAGAAGGAGACCCCAATCTCCCCCCCAATTAGCCCCTTCACTCCCCTTTGTCCGCAGAGTCAAAACAGATCCACCTAACCCCATCCCCCCGACAAGACAATTAGACGTAGACAGCCCAGCAGAGGGGTGAACAGCAAACAGAAAGGGTATCGGTCACATCCTCACCTTGACAGCAACACCATCAGATTGTGTTTTTGGTCCACGTGGTAGCGTCGGATGTACAGATAGTCTCTCGAGTAAAGGGGGTACTGATAACGGAGATAAACACAGGATTTAAAAAGCTCTCCCCAGACACTGCTGCTTTAAGTCCCTTTCCATTTACACCCACCATCAGAACCCAGGACAAGTGCTGCGTTTTCTCTCAGAGCGATCTTAATCACGCGCAGCAAGTCATATTTGACAGTGAGGCTTGTTGAATAATCTGAATCAGCAAAAACATCTGACAGGCACCCACCTTTTCCACGGTATATTTTACTCAAAGCTAATGTTTCTTTTGCTGATCTCAGGAATTTCAGCAGACTGCTCTGACATAATGTGAAGTAGCACCTCTCAACATTCTGGGGGTTACTATTCACCAGAAACTCAACCGGACTCACCACATAAACACAGCGGCTACAAGAGCAGGTCAGAGGCTGGGAATCCTGCAGCGAGTAACTCCCCTCCTGACTCCCCCCCAAAGCCTGTCCCACCATCAACAAGGCACAAGTCAGGAATGTGATGGGATACCCCCACTTGCCCCGGATGGAGGCAGCTCCAACAACACTCGAGAAGCTCGACACCATCCAGGGACAAAGCAGCCCCCCCCCTCGCATGGCCCCCCACCCACAAACAGCCCACTCCCCCCCCCACCACCGACGCTCAGTAACAGCAGTGTGTACCATCTACAAGATGCACTGCAGCAACTCACCGAGGCCCCTCAGACAGCACCTTCCAAACCCATGACCCACTTCCATCCAGAAGGACAAGGGGCAGCAGGTACATGGGAACACCACCCCCTGCAAGTTCACCCTCCGAGCCCCTCACCGTCCCCTACTTGGGAAATACATCGGCCGTTCCTTCAGCGTCGCTGGGTCAGAATCCTGGAACTCCCTCCCTGAGGGCACCGTGTGGGGGTCCCTACACCACATGGACTGCGGCGGCTCAACCCCACCTTCTCAAGGGGGGCAATTAGAGGACAGGGCAATGTCCACATCCATGAACGAATTTTAAAAAAAAGCAGCAAGACTGTGGGGTGGGGTGGGGGGATGGGTGGTTGTCACCACTGAGGGGGACTTTTCGTGTTGACCTGGAAAGTTAGCCTGATTTCGCTTTAGTGAGCTGAGTGTGAATGCCCGCTCAGGAACCTGCTGGCAGTACCAGCTGGAGAAGCAGACCACTGGGTGGGGGGGAACTGCTCACAGAGTTGTAGGCAAATCCGTCGGAGGGTGGGCACCCAGAG